AATTTTTAATCAGATACCTCTCCAAAACCACAACTTGAGTGTTTTAGCAACATCAGCAGTAGAACCACTTAAAAGAATGCCAACTTTCAGGACCATCACCAATCAGAAAATGATCACTAAACTATGATAAGCATAAAAAATAGCTTATAACTGAATAACAGTGTAAAGGGTCTAATCCAGCTGCAAGCAACTTGCATGTCACCTAATCTCGAATTAGTTTGATCAAAAACTGAAAAGTCAAAGATAAATCCCGTTTAGCCTCCCCCAGCAAACAAGAAGATGTCATCTGATGACTAAAAAGATCCTAATCCAGACAGCTATTTTGATATGCTCCAAGTACCAGTTATTGTGGTAATATCAAGTTGACTCTTTCTCTATTTCTGTGTTATTTTGCTTTCACCTTGCAGCCCCTAAAGGCTGACACATCCATCCAATTTAGTTGACATATATTTATCTTAACTTCAGATTGTGGCAAGAATCACTATCGATTTCTTAGGTCCAGAATAAGTGCATCATAGGTAAGACTCGTGCTAACCACGAAGGGGATGGAAAACATGAATGAACTGCACCTACACTTACAGAATACACCTTTGAATGTCATTTCAAATATGAATTCCAGGTAAAGAAAAAGCAATTCAGTTTATGAAAGATAACGTGACCACACCTCTTCATACTTATAATCACGATCAGTTCCTTCCCAAGGGTATCGACCAACCCCAAGGACGATGCCTTCTCCTTCGTCCTCCCCGCCAACTTGATCACCTGAACATTAACAACAATATTAACTGCTATCATGTTCAAAAGAATCCAAATTAATGTGTTCAAAATATCAATGTACAAAAGGCCTGCTGGATGAAGCTTTCCAGATATATTCATCTTTAAATTCAATTCTACACATTACATATACAGCAAATTTATTAAACTGAATGGAGTCACTGTTTATATTTGAATTGTGATTCTCTCCCACCTACATGGACTAATCATCAAATGTTTTGTTAATAACAAAAAATCATAGTTATTCAATTGAAAAGCATGTATAGTATATTTCACAAATAATTACTTTTTATAGCCTGGATCATTCATTGCTGGCAATCTTAAAACTAAAATGACCAAATTCAAATCATCCAAAATTACTACACACGGATCTTACCAGTCTGATCATCTACCACATCACCATTTTCATCATTCAGAAAGTTAGTGTCAACCTGAATGGTCAAAACAACATATAAATCATGTCATCATCAAAAGGAAGCTGCAAGAACCTAATCCCTAGACATCATCGTACTGCTTCCCAACTAACCTGTTTCTTCTTCTTTTTCTTCATGCCAGCAAAACTAGGCTCACCCGAGTCAGCAACTGCGATGGATAAACATTTCAGCTTGCACAACCCATGATATTCTGCGCTTAACGAAAAGTGAGAGTCCAATGACACTACTTCAACAAAAACTATACCAGTTAAATTCTCCGTTTTCTCGGCTAATTTATCCACCACCTCAGCAGAGTCCTGAAGAACAACCTTCTTCTTTTTCTTTTTCTTGGTCGGATCAAAGGGGGCCAACTGCAGGCATTATTGCCAGAAGTAAATGAATCAGAATAATAGGCAAGATCTATGTGGAGTAAGGAAAATTCGCATCGACCCTATCACGAGTATAAATCTCGCTAGCCCTAGACAAAGACGCACATCGACTCTATTACCTCCGAAACCTCCTCCTTCACATCTGATGGATTCTCGTCCGCCATGCCGTCTCACGGCCACAGATTCTCGAATCTGAAACTTGCGAAACCCTAAATAACGAATACAAATCGATGCAACGAACAGCCTCCACCACCAACTACAACCGGAAAATCAATTTCGCACATGACGAGGAAAAGAATTAGATCTTGAACATAATTTCCGTGAAAATTTCTTGGGAATGGATTCGGAATCGACGAGTTCCTCGGCATACCTCGAAGGATGTGATGACGAAACACTGGAGGCTTCGTTCGGCGGATGCGTGCTACCACCGCTTCGGCTTAGCATTTATAGCCAGGGTTACGATAAGGGTAGGGTTAGAGAATGGGTGGCATTTCTAACCCTGCACCGATCCGATCCGATCCGATCCGATTCGACCGGTACGAATTGGGTTAGGTTAGACCCGCTTTCATTAAGGGCTAATTGCATATTATCTTTATAGTTAATTTTTTTTAATATTTCGATTTAAATATTTAAAATTTTTATATTAAAATATTTATAAATATTAAAGTGAAATATCTAGTTTTATTTATCATAATATCTTTTATTTTATCGATAGAAGTATAAAAACGAGAGGTAAAAATGTAATTTTAATGTCCTAGTTATGTTTTCTGTAGTGACGAACTAGATAAGGAGAAAGAGTAATGGTAATATATGAGATAAATTGAGATGAATAATAAAAAGACGTAGCTATTTATTATCTTTAGCTAAGTAGCTCTATATATAGATGAGACTGAGGAAATAATGACAATGAGAGTGTTCCTTATCTCTCATTGTCATTCTCTTTATCCATAATAATCACTTACGATCCCAACTAACATAGTTATCTGTCATCACTAATTAGAATATTTAAATTATTATTTTTATATTTTCATCGATAAAACTAATGATGTTATGTTACGAACGGTCGTCGCGCACCCGCAACAACTCTGTTCAACAAACCGTTCGTCATTCTCATATATATGTACAGCTACTTAGCAGGCTGTTTTGCCTTGGTATTGAGTCATTTTGTTTGTAAAAATGTAAGTTCGAACACGTTGTAGTGTTACAAAGCGACCGCTCATCGAACCGAGCAAAATAGCCCCAAAACAGCTCCATTTTTGGAATCCGCCTTCGCTCACCAAAACGTCAGCCATCTCAGCCCCTTGGAACCCCCGGGTGGCACAGGGATGGATGGGGCTTCGGTATAGTACCGGGCATTGAACACTCATTCGCAAGTTCGCACGTTGCCTTGACGGAAACTTTTGTCGCGCTCGGGACTCGGTGAGCAGCTGTTTATGGGCTTGCAGTTGTTCGTTCAACCTTCTAAAGCCCTTATTTTTTTCCTCTCCCTCTTTTCTCTTTGTGCACGCAAGGTGCTCGCTGAATTGCTTGTAAAGCTTCCCCTCTTTTCACGAGACGTCGAGACTTATCCGTCGCTCGTTCTTTCGAACTAATCAATTTTATCTTTTACGGGTCCTTCGGGACCTGCGAGAGGTTGCAAGTGGACTGATCTTTGCGAAGCAATATCGCAAGGGCGAAGCGCGACTTAGGCAACGCAAGCTAAGTTCGCGTCTTGGTCGCAAGGGTGCCTCACGCCTTAAGCAACTCCAGCTAAGGCCGTAACAGTTAGGATAAATGAAGCTAGATATTTTATTTTCATAATTATAAAAATTTTAATATAAATTTTTTAAGTTTAGATATCAAAATATTAAAAAATATAACCAAGGGGTATTATGTAATTAGCCCATTTGATGAAAGATCAAGTAAATTTATATTTGATTAATAAAATATTATATATGATTAGTTATATTTAAAGTTGCATGGACAAATATTTATATGGTTGATTGTTATCTGTGAAATAAACTGATCGAAAAATCTCCACGTTTTTTTATTTCACTCTTTTCATTCAAATATCACATAAAGGAGATTATAATGGGCAAGTTATCGATATATTTCTGAAAAATATCTTCATTTTCATTCTTCTCTAATCACCTCCTTTTTTATTTAGTAGATAAAATACCACCAATCATCTATTCTTTTTTTTTTTTTGTCTCTATAAGTTAGTTCATAGAATAAATAATTCCAATTATAATATTTGTATACTTTAAACTTTAAATATATTAAAAATATATATTTTTACTATGTTATAGTATTTATCTAGTATTACTGAAAACACAGACATAGTATAAAAACACTATTATATAAATATACATATTTACTGTATTGTAGCATATTGTTGATATTGTTAAAAACATCGTAATCACTACGATTCACCTTATGGATCGATCTATATGAAAAAAAGAAAACAAAAGATGGTTGACTGTCAAATCAATAAATAACCAAAATTATTTCTTTGGGAATTCATCCGATTATAATTGTCAACGAATAACCAAAATTATTGGCATATTTGTTTCACTAATTCAGGAACATAATCGAATTGAAATCGGAGGTAGTTTGATGTATACGTTATGCCATGTATTTACTGCAATTTACTTGTATGTATTAGGTAACATAATGTTGTGTTAACTCAGTTTTGGGATGAGCTTACTCACCCAATACCATCCTCACTATAATTATTTACCATGGATGTCAAATTTTCCTAAGAATAGCTACCATTTCCTAAGAATCATATTCAAATGAATTGATCGTCAAAGCCGTGATGGTTCGATCTACCACTATTATAATTACATGAAAATGTGATCGGGAAATTGGTTTCTCACACGATATTCTTAATTTGCGGCGTGACGGAGGGAAAAATATATTTGATGATGTGGGCTCCACCTAAATAATCGTTTTTTATTGGTCGCCTCATCCGGGTTGTGATCCACCACCACCGTCTACATGTTACCGAGTCAACGCTGTCTTTCCGGAGCGTTAATGTTCCCCATGTTCATGCGTTCATGTCGGATTCGGACCCTTTGGCGTCAACCTACCGTAGAAAAATACGTGTTCGAACGAATCAAAGAGCCCCGCGATCCAACGGTTCAAGTTGGACGATCTTTTGCTGGACCCACCATCACCACCCGGTCCATCACTGGCTCCGTTCCGACAACAGCTGGCGTCGGTGGGTCGCCAAACGCGGTGAGCGAGGTGCGTCGCTCTTCAACACGTCTTTCCCTGACGAACCCGGTATCACACCATTTCGGTTACTGGATCATTAGGTGGAACCCACGAGAAATCGGCCTCCGGGTAAGGTTCTCGGGAGGGTTCTTGGTGCCGAAGCGACAGCCGTATCATATAAGGGATCGACTAATAATGCACTTTGCATTAAGCTAATAGGGAAGGAAATAAATGGGGAAGTAGTTGATAGCTTGTAAGAACTGAAGAGGTGTTCCTCCCTCACCAAAGATTCCCCGCGGTTCTTTCCGCCATCGGAGCTCATGCAAGGTACTCACGTTGCTCTTCCCCGTCGATCTAGGCTTCCGCTTCATCCGGTTTTGATTTATTTCAGCTGCGTTTTGTAGATCTGTTGTTGTTCTCTTTTCCGACATTTTTTTTGCCAAATATTCCGTCTTAGATTTCAGTATTTCTGCAGGAATTCCGGTTTATTTTCCTCGTTCTGTGGATTTCTCCTCTGAATCCAAGAGGAATGCAAGAACTTGAGGGAAATCTTCTGTTTTCTTCATCAAAGATTCGATTTTTGCTGTATCTAGGGCTAAAAATCCAGTCTTGGTCTTCGGCTTGATTGCTAGTTTCTTCCCAAAGTTGTGTTCTTCTGGGTGGTGCATAGTGTGGTGTTTCCACATGAGGAACCGTTTCGGGTCGGCTTCCTTGCTCCTGTTCTTGGCGATGGCCCCGATCTTGGTCGCCGCCGATAACTCCACCTATGTCCCTCGGGACTACATCCTCCTCAACTGTGGCGCTTCAGGGAAGGCCATTGATACCGACTCCCAAACTTGGACCGGCGACGCTGGATCTAAGTACGGCCCTTCTCTGAATGCCGTCGGCTTCACAGCTCCCCAGCAAGACTCGTCGGTCCCGGAAGTCCCGTACTTGACGGCCCGGGTCTTCACCTCCCCGTACACCTACTCCTTCCCTGTCGGCCCGGGCCGCAAGTATGTCCGCCTCCACTTCTACCCTTCCAATTATTCCAACCATGTTGCATCGGATGCATTCTTCTCCGTCACTTCCGACACACACACCCTTCTCAGTAACTTCAGCGCCTATCTCACTGCCGATTCACTCAACTATGCCTACCTCGCCCGCGAGTTCTCGGTTAATGTCTCTACCGGTGGCCTCAACCTCACTTTTACCCCATCGACCACCCATCCCAATGCTTTTGCTTTTATCAATGGTATCGAGATCGTGTCGATTCCGGACATCTTTAGCTCTGCAAACCCTATGCTCGTCATGGGTGGAAGTGCCCTGCCCTATACAATTGACCAGGACTGGGCTCTAGAGACAGTGTATCGGCTCAATGTGGGTGGGCAGTCCCTTTCCCCTACCCAGGACTCTGGCTTGTTCCGCTCTTGGAATGATGATTCACCATACATCTATGGGTCTTCTTTCGGTGTGACCTACTCCAACGATCCGAATGTCACCATCTCATACACGGATAATGTTCCAAACTATACTGCACCGGTGGATGTCTACTCAACTGCACGATCAATGGGGCCAAATGCAAATGTCAACCTGAATTATAATCTCACATGGATTCTCACAGTGGATGCTGGCTTTTACTATCTCGTAAGGTTCCATTTCTGCGAGATCCAGTATCCGATAACCAAGTTAAACCAAAGAGTCTTTGATATCTACATCAACAACCAGACTGCACAGGAAGGGGCTGATGTAATTGGGTGGAGCACTGGAATAGGTATACCTGTTTTTAAGGACTATGTCGTGGTCACAACAGGAAGCGGACAGATGGAGCTATGGATTGCACTCCACCCAGATACCAAAAACAAACCACAGTTTTATGATGCTATCTTGAATGGGCTTGAGATCTTTAAGTTGCAAAACAGCAATGCAAGTCTTGCAGGACTTAATCCACCACCAAGGCCTGATCCAGAGGTGGATGCTAGCAAGATTTTTGATGGGCAATCCACGAAATCCAAGAGTCGAACTGCGGCAATTGCTGGCGGGGTTGTTGGAGGGTTTGCACTCTTGCTTGTTGGTTTCTGTCTTATCAGGATCTGCAGGCGCCAAAAGAAGAAAGGAAAGGATGCTGGTAGCAGTGATGGGCCTTCTGGTTGGCTTCCTCTCTCCTTGTATGGAAATTCTCATTCATCTGCATCAGCTAAATCAAACACTAGTGGGAGCTATGCCTCATCACTCCCCACAAACCTTTGCCGCCACTTCTCATTTGCTGAAATAAAGGCTGCCACAAAAGGTTTTGATGAGTCTCTCCTCCTTGGTGTTGGTGGATTTGGAAAGGTTTACCATGGGGAGATAGATGGTGGGACAAAGGTAGCCATCAAGCGTGGTAATCCAATGTCCGAGCAAGGTGTTCATGAATTTCAGACTGAGATTGAGATGCTTTCCAAGCTTCGCCACAGGCACCTTGTCTCTTTGATTGGTTACTGTGAGGAGAACTGTGAGATGATCCTTGTATACGACTACATGGCCCATGGGACCCTCCGTGAGCATCTATACAAGACTCAAAAGCCGCCCCTCACCTGGAGGCAGCGACTCGATATCTGCATTGGGGCAGCTCGCGGACTGCACTACCTCCATACTGGTGCCAAGTACACCATCATCCACCGAGATGTGAAGACCACAAACATTCTGTTAGATGAGAAATGGGTCTCAAAGGTTTCAGATTTTGGTCTTTCCAAGACTGGTCCGACACTGGATCACACTCATGTCAGCACAGTGGTGAAGGGAAGCTTTGGATATCTTGACCCAGAATACTTCCGGAGGCAGCAGCTTACCGAGAAATCTGATGTATACTCGTTCGGGGTTGTGTTGTTTGAGGTCCTGTGCGCTCGGCCAGCTCTAAACCCTACACTTCCAAAGGAACAAGTCAGCTTGGCTGAGTGGGCAGCACACTGCCAGAAGAAGGGAATACTAGATCAGATCATTGATCCCTACTTAAAGGGTAAGATTGCTCCGCAGTGCCTAAAGAAGTTTGCAGAGACTGCCGAGAAGTGTGTGGCAGATGTAGGGACCGAACGACCATCGATGGGTGATGTGCTGTGGAACCTCGAGTTTGCCCTCCAGCTGCAGGAGAGTGCCGAGGAGAGTGGCAGCATCAGTACTGGTATCTCAGACGAGGCAGCAACACTTATGATATTCGGAAAGAAAGTTCCTGATGACCCATCTATGGAATCAAGCACCACAACAACCACAACCACCTCGATAAGCATTGGAGGGCGGAGTGTAGCTAGCGAGGACTCGGATGGGTTGACCCCCAGTGCTGTGTTTTCACAGATCATGAACCCAAAAGGTCGGTGAGCTCATCATTGTAAGGGTTGCCTCGATGCTTCTTCAATCTTCGATATGGAAGTTAGCGCTTTGATTTATCTTCTTAATCTCTTTATTAAATGTATTTGCTGAGTTTGTGCTGTAACATTACTCAACCTTGAGATTTCATATAACCTCCGATAAATTTGATCTGTAATTTGTACTTCCAGAATGAAACTGCTGTTGTGAACAAAATAAATGGTTGGTGTTATCAATAGACAACTTAAAGTCTCTTCTTTTGTATCTGGAAGTTTGATATCGTATCCTTTGTTCCTGAAAGATTTGATGGATCGAACAAAATATGACCTATTCAGATATGAAATGGACTCCTAGTTTCTGCTCTTGGATTCATGTTGAGCTGATAGATTTCTTGGGGTGTCGTTCTAGCGCTTTTCTTGTGCGAGCATGCGATATCCAAGTATCCGAAACCTGTTCTTTTATCTTATTGTCTCTATCAGAGAGGTGGATCATGTGCTGTATCCCACTGCGTGCTTCAAGTTATGGGTCCGCAAGATCGGGAAACATTTCAACCCGTGCACGTTACAGCTTAGTCTGTGTTTTTGATAGCATCGGACAGTAGCTGGAATTCTCCAGCTGCTCTCCATATCTCATGTTCTTCCCCGAATTCTGTACTTTTCCCTATAGGATTCCAGTTCAGCTTCATATAACATGCAATCACTTCCTGTTGTCGACATCCATAAGCCAAAAAGATCAACAACAACAACAACAAAATCCGAACTAGCTGGCTCTGTGTTGTACCAGTGAGTAGCTTAGATTAGTAGACCTGGAACTAAATATAATAGACATCATTTAACGAGCCTGCATCTGGCGATAGCTAACACTTATGATTCTTCATCGAAGCTAAAAGATCATTACATAACCAGACATAATTTCTAGAACTAAATTCTGTGTATATAAAATATTTACCTAAAAAGGATTTTTCATGAAAAATGATATGTTCTCTCCTCCCAACCCATGTGTCAATTTGACAGTAACTCATCGAAAAATAGATTTATTAATTGGGCGATTTCCCTAACGAAATATCTTCATTTGGGAATTTGTATATGGTTTGGAAACAAATAAAAATGGGTAATTATTTAGGAAATACGTAAAATGAAGATATTTTACTGAAAAATCGTCCTTATTAATATATATTAAAAATAATTATTATACGCAGATGAGCTTCCAGAGAATGCTTGCCGTCTTGCCACGTGTCGCTAAACGCACTCTTCTAGTCCCAAGCGACCTTCACCTTCTTCCTTAACCCACCCCCGACCCCCCCCCCCCCTTCCGACCCCACTTCTCTCTCTCGCTCGCTCTCTGCGTCTTCTCGACCATCGAAGCATCGCGAAGAGCGACGATGAAGATTGTTCACGTCGAGTGCTTGGAAGACAATTACGCCTACATGTGAGCACCGGTTGATCCTTTCCCCCGCGATTTCCCGTTGCTTCGAACCCTAGATTTGCTTTTGATCCTCTTGTTTTCTTGATCCCTTCCCGTTTGGCGCGACTTCCAGAATCGTGAATGAGGTGTCCGGGGAGGCGGCGGCCGTCGATCCCGTCGAGCCCGACAAGGTCTGCTGGACGGCGAAGCAGATCGGGGCCGATCTCAAGCTTGTCCTCACGACTCACCACCACTGGTTGGTCCAAATCCCCTCTCCTCTTATCCTTTTTGCTAGTTCCGATAAGTTCTTGACCCAAGATTCACCAAATTGTTCATCTACTCTGAGAATTTGGAGTTCTGCAGTACTAGAAGTCGTTGGATTAGGTTGGTAGCCCGTTATATGTTGTCTTCTGAAAGTGTCCCGTTCATTATAGGGATCATGCAGGTGGGAACGAGAAGATGAAGCAGTTGGTGCCGGGGATAAAAGTCTTTGGTGGATCAAAAGACTCCGTCAAAGGTTGCACGGATAATTTAGAGAACGGGGATAAGCTGCCTCTGGGGCCGGATATGGAGATACTGGCGCTCCACACACCATGGTATGGGGTCACTCCTGTTGTATCACATCTTGCTCTCCATACCCTGTGTTCCTGTGTGATCTATGCATTCTTACTTGATTGTTTGTGCGTACTATGAGGCGACAAGATAAAATCAAAAGCACAACCTTATGTCGGTCTCATTTGAGAAACTATTATTGGACAGTGATCTAGCACATGTAGAATTGCAGGACTGCCACATGTTGACTGATTCTGAGACATAGGATAGCAAGTTGTTTAATTCACATATGGAGGAAAACATAGGCTGCGTTTGGTAACACATTTGCATTTCTAATCAGTGGTTGGAGAAAGGGGTTTGAATAAATGTGCAGTTATGGAATACTCCGAGTGTTTAGTAAACAACATATGAAAACTATATTTTAAATGTGCATTGGCGTAAATTTTGTTTAGTAAAATTATATTTCAAAAGTACATTAAACATTTTTGATAAATTTACCTTTCTAATATTCTTAATATTTGTTCAAAAGTGAATATATATATATATATTCATTAAATTAATAAGTAAATAATATATGTAATCTTATAAAAATTTAGTATTACCCAAATATATAATAAATAAATAAATAAATAAAATTTTATCTTATAGAAAATATAAATCATATTGGTTTATCACTAAATCATTTTGATAATATTTAATTTTAGATAAAGTTATAGGATACTTTTGGAATTTTAAAAATTACATTAGCATCCTTCAAATGTTGAAATGCTAATGCTACCTTGAGGTAGCATCAGCATTTGAGCATTTTCAATGCAGCATCCAGGTTAGATGCAATTTGAAAAAAAATTAAACAAAGACGGATTCACATGACATGTGTATTGGGCCCTCAATGTATATTTCAAATGTGTTCTCAAACATACCCTTAGAATTGAAAATATAAATGAATCATTTTGACAACCCGAGGACATAAGATAAACAGACTTCAAAACCAGCAAATAGTATGATGACATTGTTAATTAATTGTCCTTGAGCTACTTTTATCGAGAACTAAGAAAAACTTTGATTGAACAAACATTTTCTTGCACTGCTAAGTTCGTAAGTGAATTATACATCATAATTATTGGTGGTTTGTGCTAGATAAACTGGAACATGAAGAATATCTATATCTTTGGTCATGAAGCTGAAAGGAATTATTGAGCTTTAGTTTCTGATTAACATGACAGGCAAACCATAATATGTGATGTCATAAGCAACTATTGGTGATGGCAACATATACCATCTGAGAACGACTTTGGTGATAATATGAATATGACAATACATATTATTTATTAAAATTAAACATCCTAAGTTTTCATCGATTAAAGGGCAAAGCTTTCCACATTTGTCAAAATGCACATGTGTACGTTGAATGATAACCTGTCCTAGTCTGAGCTTCAAGTTGTCCATTTGCATCATCTAATCATTTCTTGCATCCTCTATGAGGAAGCACATTGTACCTTAAGATGCTTTTTAGTGATCACCATTGATGCAGGATGGAAAAGTAAACTCAAGTCCTTGAATTATTTATATTACTCATAAAGGATGAAGATATAATCTATTAGTTGATGTTGCTTTTTTTTTCACTATTTTTTTTTACCTTTTTTGGTTCTCAACCTGAAAATGTACTTATGTTCTGGTTTCATCAGCCACACCATGGGTCATATTAGCTATTACGTGACCAGTAAAGGGGAAGATCCAGCTGTCTTTACTGGAGACACATTGGTGAGTCGACATCATGTTCTTTGTTCTATAATGTGGATGCATTACACTCTGATAGATGACACTCTTTTATTCCTTTTGTTTTTCAGTTTATCGCTGGTTGTGGCAAGTTTTTCGAAGGCACTGCAGAACAGATGTATCAATCACTATGTGTGACATTGAGTTCACTGCCGAAGCCTACTCGTGTTTATTGTGGCCATGAGGTGTGCTTTTTCATAATCCTAATATCTAATATGAGAACCTTTTCCTTGGGATAGAATGGAATGAAGTCATGGACCTTAGAGTTTCTATTTCGATTCCTGGTTGGACTAGTCATGCCAAACGAGGTTGTTGAATATAGGTAATGGAAATAGTGTAGTAGAAGGTGCTTAAACACATCTAAGTTCGATGCATTCCAAAAAGTTAAAAAGGTCATTACTAGACTAATCCAGGAAATGCATAGATTGCAAATGTTAGCTGATTGTATTTGTTATGCAATTGATGAGATCTTGATTAGTGGGAAAATATATCCTTGGGAAAAATGTACATCAGATGATGTATGTATGATGCTGATTCCTTATAGTTGCTATAGAGCAGTGTAGTCAACATAAGCAGCAAATGTGGCATACAATTTGATAACAGCTGTAACTTGGTAATCTTCGATAAAACAGTTTATCATGTTTATCTCCCCTGTTATATCTGATAATACAGATATCTTCATGATACGTCATTCCATTTAATAAATCATTGTCTTGTGTATGTGACATATTTTTTGTTGCTATGATGTAGGAGGGAAACATGTCAATAGTACTGTGAAACATACATCATTTTATTCTTAGATCTGTTGCAACTTCTAGTCTTTCCCTTATGCTTTTGTTGGGAAGAGATGATGAGGCTAAATCTGTGATTTCCTGCAGTACACGGTGAAGAACCTGCAGTTTGCGTCAACGGTTGAACCAGACAATGAAAAGATATCACAGAAGCTATTATGGGCTCAAAATCAACGTAAAGAAGGCCAGCCTACCATTCCTTCGACAATTGACGAAGAACTACAAACCAATCCATTCATGCGGGTTGACTTACCCGAGATACAGGTTTTTTGCTTTCTTTTTGATTCATTGTATTGCTTGAAGGAGGGAAAGAAAAGAAAAAGAAAAAGAAACGGGCATATTATGTTAAACTAGTGGATGACTACATAAATTGCTAATCTGATACGGAGCTTGATTCTCCCAGCAATGGTCTTAAGCCGCCTCTTAGAAGATATAGATGTTTTTAAGCTAGTGAACTTTAGACTTAGAAGGTGTATCTACACAGCATGAATGAAAGAGTTAGCATTACCAGTATACTAGCTGTAAAATGAAATGGTGCATTTGATGAAGATAATTGATGGCTTTATTGCTAGAATTCAACTACCATACCGTCAGATGGACTGTTCATGGGATGTGAAATGAATTCGTCTTTTGAAGCTTGCACATTCAAGTCCTCAGCATTTTAGCATTGGATGCTTATGGCTGCGCATTCTTTTAGGTGACAGCATACGGTTATGAAACGGGAGCCTCGATGATGACTGTGCTCTCAACATCATGTGTGCAATTTCCCGAGGGATAGAAATAATGTTAATGAATTGCATAAGATTTCTCGACATATGTGGAAGACAGAAAGCATATGAACTTTGTCCAACTCTGTTTTCCTGTATTACCGTTATTACTTCCATCTGCCATATCGACTATTGTCCTTTGTTTTGGTCATATTTCAAATATCTGGATTTACATATTTGTTTTATATTCTGGATCAGCTTATCAACTTGAATTTGGCAATTTGCAGGCTAGAGTCGGCTGTGGTACTCCAGTCGAGACGCTGAGGAAAATTAGGACAATGAAAGACAACTGGAGAGGCTGAAAAGGAGGAGATCAATCCTCCGAAGAGACGATCCAAAGAGTCTTATGGGATATGGTAATGTGTTGTTAGAACAAGGACCATATTTTCTGTGGTTATAGAATCTTGCCCGAGACTGCAATAAATCACGGTGTGCGATTGTTCACGGAATATATCTCGATGAATTAATGTTGTGAGAGAATCCGAGATGTGAAGGCACTTGCAATCCCGAGAGTTGGTAATGGTCATCAAAGATGTGGACTCAGCTTTGATGATCAACTACCGACAGCTTCGTGAACAGTTCATTAGTCATTTCGGTGCGGAAGAGTCTTTTTGCCCTGCGAGCGGTGATCAACAATTAATTAGATTATGTGGATATCAATTCGTAAAATATTTTTCTTTGATTAAATTTACTATAAGAAATCGATTAGACAATAACAATTAAGATTAATTATTGTTTACTTAAATTTTTTTTATTTTTGTTTCAAAATCGATTAAGAGTATTGAGAATCTCACTCGACGTCCCGTACAGGATCACCCGAGCCACCTTCAACCTATGTGTATCAACTCGAACTACTACTAGATTGGACTGATCCTGTCATCATAAACTTCTCTCACATTAAATACTAATGTGGAACAGATTACTACACAGTCTTCCAGCTCACGGCATCACATGGCAGTAAGCGCAATGGTAATAACAAACCCTTCTCTCTTCAGATGTAGACCGATCTATGACACGCCGAGAGGATCGTCATGCCTGCAACTCCGCATAACGTGTTGCCCACGCTATGTTCTCCTTTGATGTCAACTTAGCGTCGAGCCCTGGAGTCGTGCACCGCCTCCCAAGCTCGAGCTTCGTCATAAACAAGAGCGTGATGTGAGCTGTTTACCGGAAGATGCAAGTGTATCAAGCCATAAATTTTGTTTAGTTGACTCAGGGATGGTCAAGGGAACCGCGTTTGCTTTATTTATGATCAACTTCCCATTTTAGAAATATATCTTAACTTCTCACTTATTATTTTTCTTTTCCGATGACCATATATCTACAATTTTTTTTTTCTCGACGATAGCTTTTCGAATAAATGGAAAAGTAACAAACTCTCCTCTTGTGGCACAGCAAGGGACATGTGACTCATGTCAATCATAACTCCTAGTGTCAATTTCGTGACACCACTGTATATCATTGTCTCGAGAATAAACCATTTCGCATCCAAATTATTATTTTCGTAGAAGAAGCCGTTTCCAGCTCCCATCGCACGCCGGCTTCCCGCGTTTCCCTCTCTTTATATGATGCACCGCCCCCGGAAGCTTCTCTCACCCCTCGCCTCTCCTTCCTCTCTACCTCTCTTAGCTCGCTTGCTGTTGTCCACGTGCAGACGCCATGGAGGGAGGGATGGCCGCGCACCGCCAGCTGCCGACGCCGGCCCCGACCCTTGGCCGGCCGTCGCCGTCCTTCCGGCTGCGCACCGAGAGCCTCAACACCTTGCGCCTCCGCCGCGTCTTCGACCTGTTCGACGACAACGCCGACGGGGAGATCACCGTGAAGGAGATTGCGCTTGCCCTCGACCGCCTCGGCCTCGCCGCCGACCCCGCGGAGCTCAGTTCCACCGTCGCCGCCTACATCCCTCCCGGCCACGCCGGCCTCGCCTTCGACGACTTCGAGGCGCTCCACCGCGCCCTCGGCGACGCCCTCTTCGGCGCTCCCAACGCAACAGGCGAGGAGGAGGAAGCGGCCGAGGAGGAGGTGGAGGAGGACATGAGGGAGGCCTTCCGGGTGTTCGACGAGGACGGCGACGGCTTCATCTCGGCGGCGGAGCTGCAGGCGGTGCTCTCCAAGCTGGGGCTGCCGGAGGGCCGGAGCATCGCGCGTGTCCGAGAGATGATCTGCTCCGTCGACCAGAACTCCGACGGCCAGGTCGACTTCGGCGAGTTCAAGCACATGATGCAGGGCATCACCGTCTGGAGCGCCTGATCAACGGCCCATGATGCACCTCCTTTTTCTGGTTGCTTTCCCTTTCCCTTTCAATTTTTTTTCTATTCGCCCCGCTCCGCTCTTAAATGCTGATGTTGCTCACATCACATCATGGACGCGTGGAGGTCTAATAGCCGTACATTTCTCGAGCCAAGTGGGGACGCACCTTTTTCTTATCCGCTCATAATTTGTCTTTGACTTCTGTGTCGGGCGACCGATTGATTTGAGCTTTGAGGATGTGCTGCGATGTGTGATATGTTATGTTTATTAACCTGTCGAACTAAAAGGAGTCAGTGTCGTCGATCAATAACTCGTGCTACAATTCTTGTGGTTTACCAAAGTATTTTCCCACATGGGGTTATGATGAGCATATGGAGTGTTATAATCAACGTTAGATATCTTTTATATCTTTTAGACGTAGATATATTTATATATTTTACACATTAGATATAGAGTTATTGTTATAGTTATATATTTTACACATTATATATCTTAAAGAGTTATAGTTATATATTTTATTTCTTTTTACACATTAGATATTAATCTAAGAAACCTCATCAATTAATTTTAACTTGAATTTAAATATTTTAGATTGTCAAATTAAATTATAAAAAAGCCATCATGTATTAAATATTAATATAATGGTAGTATGCCAAATTTGTTTACCGAAAACTGAGTATCCAAAATCTAATTTCATATTAAAAAAATATCTGAAATATTATGTCAAATAATGATATAATAGTAGTATAACAAATTTGTTAAACAAAATTGAGTATTCAAAATCTTATTTTATATATTTTTAAAAAATATCGGATAACTTGGGTGATAAAAATTTTGATTATGAAAGATTTTTATCTTTAAAAAAAATAATATTTATTGACGGAACCATTTCGGAGACGGTGGGGCCACCTGCCATCCAAAAGGGAGTTTTCCCATTCTTTGTTAGTCAAAGTAAGCGGCTCCGCAGGAGACCGATGACTGGTTGCCAACACTATTATTGTCCTTCAGATATAAACTTATGATGCTATGAGAAGCGAGCTTATCGGAGCATGTGGTTGTGAAACTTGGAGGAAGCTGACGAGGATAGTAATTATGATAAGACTCGGCTAACGTTAGCCGATGCCTCACGCCTCGATCGACATAACTATACTCGATCAACCGAATCGGAACACCGATCGAGGCGCATTAACACCTACTCAGGCACGATTCTTCACGCCACGCCAGCGCCCATGTCAGACGCTATCAGCCTATCTCCTACAGACGGGCACATCAAACAACAGTAAGCTTTCCTATAAATACCCTCTCGTTCATCAGAGAAGGGGGGGTTACACATACAAACACTTCTTCTTCTGAAACCCCCTCCACATCTTCTGCTAACTTGATCGTCGGAGGGGTCGGGTCGAGCCTCCCGACCCGACCTTTGTGCAGGTGCGAAGCCGAGGGTCCCCGTCGGTCGCGCGGACGACGAGCCCCTGCCCGGAGGAGACGACGACCCCGTCCCGATCGGACCATCGCACTGGACCGACCCCGCGGGCTCGAGGCACGCCCCAGAGAGATCCCCGACGTCCGGACCCAAACCGAGCCGCGTCGGCCCCGAGGCCACGGCTCTCAAAGTTGTTTCCCACAACAGTTTGGCGCTAGGAGGGCCCGGAATGTCGGGTGATCACCCGAGCGGCTCAGATGAGCCCACGGCTAAGAGGTCACACCCGACCGAAGCCTCGGGGGAACATCCCCCGCACGGAGACCATCGTGACGAACACCCCACCACAACCTCCGAACGATATTGGCGAATATTCAACGACCCGGGCTTGTCGCCGCCCGACGGCGCCCCAGCCGACTCAACGCCCGTGTCACCCGAGGCCTTTCAGGACCTCGCCCGTCAAGTCCGAGCTATGATGGAAATGGTGCAAACCATTATCCCGCTCGTTTCTCATCCGACGCACCCGCCCGTGATCGAACCACTGCGACAACGCAAGGCTCCCGTTCGGGCCCACTTGACACCACTGGAACCCCCCACTTCGCCTCGGGTCCGACCGGCCTTGCTCGGGGATCCAGTGAAGACAAACCCGAGTGGCCGCCCGGAACCCGAAGTGCTCTCTTCGGACTCCCTGCGGGCCCAGTTGCGCTTCGTCAGCCAGCGACTTGACGAGGTGCAGGAAGAGGTTCGCAGGTCCAAGGGAGAGCCCGGGGAGAACGCACACTAAGGGTCTCCCTTCTCACCCGAGATACGGGACCTGACAGTCCCCCCGGACTTCCAGCTCCCCCCTCTGGACGCTTACCATGGCTCCACTGACCCAGCGGACCATGTAGCTGCTTTTCGGGGCCCAATTGGCGCTATACGGAACCTCTGATGCCCTGATGTGCAGAGCGTTTCCTACCACTCTGAGAGGGCCGGCCCACGCGTGGTATGGCGACTTGGAGACCGGAACGAACGCTTCCTTCGGCCAGCTCGCCAATGACTTCGAGCTCCACTTCGTAGCCTGTGCACGGCCAAAGCCCTCCGCGACACTGCTCCTCGGACTCAAACAAAGGGAGGATGAGCCCCTCTCACACTTTGTGGATCGCTTTGCCACGCAAATCCGGGGCTTGCCGGACACTCACCCCTCTCTGTTAGTGCAGGCGTTTGTGATAGGCCTGCGACCTTCCAGATTCCTCTGGTCCCTCGCGGAGCGACCTCCCACTACGGTGCCAGAGATGCTCCAGCGGGCTAACCGGTACATCGCAGCCGAGGTCTGAGCGACTGTGAGGAGAAGGGACGACCTCCGACCGCGGGCTCCATAAGAGAGGCCAAGCACCTGCGGTGGCTACCCAATGTAGTCCTCATGAAAAGAAATCTAAGCCCTGCCTCAGTCTCTTCTGAGCGAAGGTTCAGTATCTACCTGACCCCCTCTCGGCTCGCAGTTGACCCCAGCTTAAACCCCTCTGACTCTACACGGCTCGGCCGTAGACTACTTGAGTCTACCTCAGCGCAGCCTGCCCGCCTAAGTTGTGTCCCTCGGTCCGAACCATTTCCCTCGGCCATGGACTACCCGAGTCCACCTCAGCGCGGCCTGCCCGCTTGAGTTGTGTCTCTCGGCCCGAGCCACTTCCCTCGGCCGTAGACACACCTGCACGGCCAGCCCGCCTGCGTCGTGCTCCTCGGCCCCATGCTTTCCCGAGACACACCTGCGCGGCCAGCCCGCCTGCGTCGTGCTCCTCGGCCCCATGCTTTCCGGGACACACCTGCG